GAATCCATAAACTGATAATGTCCTTTTTTTCTGTTACTTTTCATCTTAGTTTTTTTCTCTTCTACATACTAGTTTTGTAATAGTTATTAACAATTTTTGGAGGATGACGAAGAAAAAAAACAAGAAGAGAACTTAGAGATGCATCGATACATAAAGAAATCCTTCTTATTATATATATTTAATGAATATTTTAATACGATATGAATAATCTCATAAGATTCAAAAATTGATGACAAGATATATCGTTATTAGAATGTAAATAGATAAATGACAAATAAATATTATACGATGAAGTAGAAAAATAGAAATGACAGTCTGTACTTGAAATAAATTAAAAATAAAATTTTCTTATTAGTTAAGAATATATAATAATAACTTACGTTGTTCGATGTTGAATGTTAAACGTGGTACAGCTATAGAAGTATATTCTAATTTTTGAAATGGTTCAAATGAAGCACAAACATATGAAGCACCATCTTTAATTACACTAACATCTGTAACTTCTGAACCACGATTTGGTGTAAATAAACGTCTTACACCATACGGTAAATCGATTGTGGTTGATAATTCTTGTAATAATTGTCCAAGATTAGAATAATTTTGTGGTACTATAGCAGTTTGTTTTCCAGCAAAATAACGATCACCGTTACGGAACAAAGTTACTTTACGCGATGTTGATTGTGGTGAAATATCATTTTTTAATCTTGGTAATGCACGACGTGTATTTTTTTGAAAATTTTGTTGTTGTTGATCTTGTTGCTGTTTTTGTTGTTGAGAGGCGCCTGGCATAGGACTACGTGACCATCCAATGTGTGACGAAAGGATATCCGTCATTTAATAAAGAAAAAAAGATTGATCAAGAAATAATCGAGAGAATGGAATAAGGAAGACTTAGCAATGAGCACCACCGGATTTGTTGATCAGTTTAAAAAATTAGATTTTTTTTACATGCAAACATACACAATAGATCTTATTGTGGACTCAAAGATCAAGAATAGAATTAGTTAATTTTTCATTCTGTTGTCATGACAATAACATCAACTAATGGTTAATCGTAACAGATATTTGAACAATAAATACAATCACGATATCTAACGACATCTTTGATTTTTGA